AGAGAGAGAGAGAGAGAGACCGGGTGGCAAGATGGCAGTTAACCTGATAACAATGCATTGCAATGGCTAACACGTGGCAGTCGACTGGTTTCTCTCTGTTATGTCAGCTTTGACATACGTCTCTCAATGTTCGCTCATCGCCTTGTTGACAAATTTCTGTCTCGTAGTTCGTGTTGCGCATGCACCAGTCAGTATTTGTGTTTTCGAAATGTTTAATTTTAAGTAATGTATTTATTTTTGCACTTTTAGAATAACTGAAGCCCTTTATTTAATTTACGCGGGTAGACTGTTCTCGTTCCACTGCCTATGTCTAGAGATGTTTCGTCTAGTTCTTATTTTTTGTACTACTCAGTTACTGCTCGCTCTGTTTCCACTGAGTCCAAGTACACACTGCCAGTCCTAGGGATTGAACACACAACATCTGTGTCACCACATCCACAAACCAACGCTTTAATCCACTAAGTATATCCTTAGATTAAATAAAGGGTTCAGTTCTTAATTTCCTGTGGGTTACCCGACTAGACTTAAATCTGATGAAGGCTGGTTGGTACAATGTTGAACAACGATGAAAACAATAGTCCCTATGTAAATAGTGTAAAATAATAACAATGTATGATTAAACTACTTAATGACTGACAATGATGGCAAATGTAAGCTTGTTCCCCCATATCCTTTCTAACGTTGTTTTTTTTAGTCATTTCAACCCATGCAAGTTAGTAAAGCTGTAGGAGTAAAACACAATTTACGCATAGTTAGAGATAACAAATTAAAACCAAATTTATACAATTATTAGAAAACATATATCTCTAACTACACACCAATTTAAGTTTAGCTAAGTCACACATGCGCCGGACTCTACTCTAGACAAATTTTAAAACAAACACAAATATACAAGAGTGCTAGCCAATATCGACGCAACTCTCGCTTGCCACTGATGTCTACAAGTACGTCCGTGCGTTTCCTTTTATAAGCTATAAGAGAAGCCGTGCAGGGCAGAGAGAGCAGAAAGAGTGGAGAGAGAGTGGGACTTCACGCACTCACGCTACCCGAAAACACGACTGACTGTCGGTCCAACCATTAGCCTGTGCAAAGGACTTCCTGTGAACACAAAAAGAGAACGGATTCCACTATCATCGCGACAAGCCCAAACTAATAGCCAACAAGCAGTCAGCTGGGTTAAGCAGACACCTTTTTCACGCTCTCATTTCACACCTCGTACACTGTACATTCGAATGCTACAGTATATGACTCACTTGAGACATTTTCATATATAGTGTCTAATTCGTTTCTTTACTCCAACCAATTTCAGCCCTCGGATCAAAGCCACTATGGCAGAAGAGGTTATTGAGTGTAAATGAATGAGGAAAAAAAGAAGCATTAAGGAGCAAGAACAATAGAAGAGTAATCAAGAAGATAGTAGATAACGATTGACATTGCATTCCAGTTTTTGAAGATCAAAGTTGGCTGGAAAGCATGGAGCCGGAAGAGAGTTCCACAAGCGAGAAGTGCGAGAAAAGACTGTAATTGATTTATTAAATTTGATATTTATATCGCTAACATTGTAAGGAAGACGAATTCTGTTCTTAGTATCGCTTTTTTTTATTATTTAAACTAATTTTTATATTCCACTCTTTACTGTACTGTAGACCAATTTTGTGGAGTGGAATCGATGAAGAATATTAAGCTGTAAGAATCTATTCAATGTAGAGCAACTGGACCATTATCAAATTTAAAGAATTTAACACACAAAGAACGTGTCGTGTATCTGAAACTATAGTTACTATGAAAGAAGATGAGACCTAAGGTACACAGTTTGGTTAATAATCTTGATAATATTAAAATGAGTCATTATTTTGAATTTCAGTTTTTCTAATACTCGAAGAAACGGTTTTAAAATGAATCATAATTTTAAATTATGTCAGAAAAATACATTGAAAAAATAATCAATGACAGAAACAGTTTTCTAAATTTGACTGTATGTGTATAAAGCCTGTGTCGCCTTCAAGAATCAAGTCAATAAATTAAAAAGATTTTGAGCACATCTTTTTTTCTGACTGACTGAATTTGATATGTTTAACTGAGTTTCCCACGCATGCGCAATAAAGCAATATAGCGTTGGTGGAAAGAATCATAAAAAAAGATTTGTTGTTTGGGCTCTTATAATGCTGCTGATGATGAAGCGACAACATCTGTATTAACGCGCTGGGTAACAAAGTAGCTTGGCATGCCACACATAGTGACATGGGTTGACGATTTCTACAGGAAGTGGAAAGAATAGTACAGAAAGGACGGACACTTACATTGCCGTTTCGCAGCATGTACTTTGGTGTTTGGGGAAGTAGAGAAGTGATTATGTAAACCTGAATAAGTAAAACACACAAAAGTGCGGATAAATGAAAAGTTATAAAGATCCCGTTCTTTAATATGGTAAAAAGCAATCACAGAAAAAAATTCGCTAGGTCGACTCTTGTGTATGCAACTTTCCGGTAAAAAAGAAATAGTCACAGTAATAATCTGGACATCTTTTTTTTTTCTTTATCTCTTTAAGAAGGAGGTCGCCTCACTTTATCGCTCCATGAAGTACCTGACTCCTTCTACCATGCTTTTTCTTTACAAGAGTCAGAGCAGACCAAAAATGGAGTATTGCTGCCATATCTGGGCTGGAGTTGCCAAATCATCACGTTCCAGCCTTGACAAATCATAATGTCACAGGTTTTGGTTTCTGACGAAAGGTAAACGATTATACTATGCTCTCAAAACTTATACCCTGTTTTTTAAAAGGAACGGTTTAATTCTTAATGAGGTTCCATGCTTTGAACATGCATTGGTTCTGAAGTTCACTCACCCCCTCAAATGGAACTCATATGATTCATTACTAAAGATGATGGAAAAATGGTTGGCCCATTCTACTGCTCCAGAAAGTACCACACTCTATTCGAACATGTTTTATATTTATAAGGATCAGATTAGACCAAAAATGGTGTGCTGCTGCCATATCTGGGATGGAGCTGTTCAGGCTTAACTTTCCTGCCTTGAAAGAGTTCAGAATCCTTTATGGAGTTTTTTTTTTTCATTTCCACTATGTAACCTCTTTTCCACAGACGCAACATTCTAAGATTGTCGCTTCACTATAGCTATTTTCATGGCAAATTCTTAGATAAGTTCCATTCCTTAGTTCCACTTTCCAGGCATTTACTTCCACGGACTCGAATCACCGTTATTTTCCCCGGGTTCCAAATGTAATAAGGATGCTACACATATTTTCTTCCAAGGACTGCCACTTTGTGGAACAAACTCCTGCATGGGTGCATACCAGAACACTACAATCTTAAGCTCTTCAAGTCACGGCTCAATCGTAATATATTTTCCTTATCCTCATAATCTTCATTTCTTTCTAACTCATATCTCACCTTTCATTCACCATTAACATTTCAACTTTAACCTCTACATTGAGTGGTTGTCGAGCCTTTATATATATATATATATATATATATATATATATATATATATATATATATATATATCAGTAATAACTATTTGGGATACTTTAATGTTTGTTATAATATATGTTATAAAAACATAATAGAGGCTTACTAAGAGTTCGATTCCTTTTACGGAAGAATTAAAATGTAAATGTTACATTGCCCCCCCCCCCTGGTGGGGTGATCTTGGTCATCGGCGTCAATTAACTCATATTTTGTATAGATCCCCTCATACTGGTAGGTCTTGGGCGATGGTTTCAATTCGATAATAAAATTGCATTCTTCTTTCGCGTCCGGTGATGGCTAGTTGTATTCAGTCCAGAGATAAAAGAACTTCAACACGGGGAATTTTAACTAACTATTTTCTTAACGTCGATGTATACATTTTCTAACTATCCAGTGGGTTTGCTGTCTCTTCACAGGGGAGCCATTTCAGACACTATGTCTACATTGCTCGGCAGTTCAGAAACAACCCACTGAAAACACTTTCTGCATACCTATCATTCCCAGTTAATCAAAATTGACTTCTTTCTTTTGTCTTTCATCTGACCTCAAAGGTCAACCCCAGTAAGTCCGATCATAGATACACTTCCTCTAAAAAATAAGTCTGATAAACTGTTATTTATCATAAAGACACTAGATTACTCTTAATTTTTAAACCAGCGTAATTTCCCGCTTCTAGAGAACTGGATTTTCCATATTCATCAATGAAAAAAGAAACGAATCGGAATCGTTGCTCTGTATTAAAAGAACTATGCAAGAAATATTAGAAAATTAAATGTATCTAATTTGATCAATAAAATATTAATAAAATATTCGTAAGTTATTACTCAGCACGATACAACACGCTAAAAAAAAAATCAGAACACGAACATTTTTACCTTTTACCTACTAAAGGATACAATTTATTTTTTCCAATCACGCAAACTTTGTCTTTAAAAGTTCTTATAATTTAGAGACAACTGGATAAGTTTTGTAGCTAAAGACTAAAGATCTACTTGCTTGGGCCACTAGGTTAGGAAAGAGAAAAATGCGGAATGAAGACGATATGGCCATCAGCTGTGGAGATATGATCTCAAACTTAAAGGAAGTTTTCTTTCTTTGCTTTCAAAATGCAAAGTAAATTTTCAGCACTCTACAACCAAACTTTCAACAGTTTCCTTGTTCAACCCGTTTCCTCGCCACAATTTCTTTGTTTTCATTTGTACAAGCAATACAAACAGGAATTCTTTGAGTGGCAAAAACATACATTCCCCTATTCAAAGTAGCCATCATGAGTGACATTTTCCCTGTGTTCCGTGTCCGTTCACTACTTATTTCATGGGGTTTATTTGTTTATAACTTGTAACTTCTGACTTATCTCTCTCTATGTTATGCGATATATTTGTGAAACAATAATTCTAATTGAAGTAAAAAGGATGAAGATAGAAGAAAAGAAAATGGCTTACTGAAATTAAAAGTGGGGGGACATAGGATAAAAGATTATGCGAACAAAATATAGAGAAGAAAATGGATTACTGAAGTGAAAAGGGAGAAAGAGGGAAAGAGAGAGAGATAGAAAAAGATGTGAACGACATAGAGGGGGGTAGAAAATGGTTTACTAAAATGAAAATGAAGAGGGGAAAGAAGTGAAAAAATAGAAAAAAGAAAATAGCCTACTGAAATGAAAAGAGAAAGATGTGAATGAAATAGAGAGAGGGGGAATGGCTTACGGAATTAAAAGGGCGATAAAAAAGACAGACAGAAAGGAAGAAATATGGAGGGGAGAAAATGTCTTACTGGAATGAAAAGGGGTGGTGGAGAAAGAGAAAGAGAGAGAGACAGAGAGAGAGAAGATATGAACAAAATAGAGATATGTAGATAATGGCTTACTGAAATAAAAAGGGAGAGAGAGTTAAGTAAACAGAGAGAAGAAAAGAAAATTGTTAATTACTGAAATGAAAAGAGAGAAAGAGAGAAAAATGAAGGCAGCAGAAGAGAACAAAATGCCTTCTTCTACGTGTCGTGCCCCTTCAGGACGTTGGCGATCATGGCTCACCACAATTTTCTGTCATTTGTAGCTCTTAATAAATATTGTCTTTTTGCTATCTCTCCCAAACCCGCTCCGTCACCCATTCACTTAAGCCCGCCAGGTAGATTATGCGTTATTTTCCTTTGTACCTCTTACCTTCAATCTGTCCTGTGAGTATTAAATTTTCAAAGCCTTCTTTCATCATTATGTGCCCTAGTAATTTCAACTCTCTCTTCCTGATGCTAAATACAACTGTCCTTTTTGTTTCACTTTTCTCTAAAACTACGCCGTTTCCCACATGTTTGATCAATAGTATGCGCAGCATCCTTCTGTAGTACCAAATTTCTGTTGCTTCAGTGAGGGAAATAGAAGAGAGGAAGAAATCAGTCAAAGTATATAACAAAGGAACCGAGAATCTGTACATGAAACACAACCGCTTCATTGGAAGAGGGATGTCGACATTTCATTGATTTCTGTGTTACGAAACTAGAATGTATCTTTCAGATTATCAGCGGTAGACATTTGGATTTTAAAAACAGAAAATGTTTTATGAATTTAGCAGGTGTAATTACCAAACCATCATTCGTTCATTTCGGAACAATTATCAACGTGACCCGAATGAGATGCAGGGAGTAAAATCTATCTATCTATTGTCACCCAAAGACAGACTGTTTCGCTGTATCACAGCTCATCAATGTGGCTAGACATCCAAGTGCCTCAAGCCGAGATCGAAACCCGATTGATTTGGCATCAGTCGGAGATTTTAACCCTGAGCTATCAGCGCCCGGTATAGAGGAACGCCCGGTATAGAGGAACGCCGATTTTTACGTACTTATTTTTCGAATAAACCCATCAATGATCGACAGTGCTCAAGTCTTAGAAGAGCTTTGCAGTATTAGCAGTAGTAGTCATTGTTTAGAAGTTCGCGCTTTCTCAAAAGTGCTCGACCGGAATTAAATTTTGCGGGGGGGGGATATATATTGTCATCCACAGACAGACTGAATATTCACACTTCAAAAATATTTTTTTTAATTTTCTTTCTTTTTCTTTTTTCTTACATACATATATAATTCACGCTTATTTTAATTGCCAAATATAATTTTTAAAATAAAAAAAACTGCAATCCCAGCATAATATATAACTACACTAACATTTTGATAACCACATATATTAAAATTCAAATTGCGAAACGGTCAGTTCATACTCAGTACCTGAAGAATGCGTTGTGCATGAAACGAGAGTCGTGCTAGCGGTTAGGAATATTACGCATACGCTAGATTTAGTTGTTTCTTTCTGTCGAATGAAGATAGCTCAGTGATAGAAACTCTGACTGATCGGTTGGGTTTCGATCCGGGTTTGAAGCCTTTGGATGTCTAGTCGCACTGAGGAGCTGTGATACAGCGAAACAGTACTGTCTGCAAATGACATTATATATATATATATATATATATATATATATATATTATTATTATTAAATGTTATATTGTTTTAGTGGATATACGTGTTTGAGTGGCAAGAACTAATGTCGGATTAAAAATAAAATTCAGTAATACCTTAGAAATTAAACATACACGCACACACACATGCGAACACACACACACATGCATACACAGTACGTCCGCAGATTACGACAAACACGAGTTACGACGATTCGTAGTTACGACCCAATCTCTATTAATCATGTTTCGACATACGCAGTTTGCCTGGTACATACGCAATACATTATAGATTTAATTATGTTAATATATGTCATATAAATATTTTGTCATGTCCTAGATTATTATTTACTATTGCGTTAGCATAAGTGAGTGACGGAAAATCGTGGGTACGTTCCGGAAAATTGAGTGACGGCACAAAGTAAGAACGGAAGTCTGTCGTAAGTCGAGGACTCGCTGTATATATATATATATATATATATATATATATATATATATATATATATATATATATATTGTGTGTGTATTTGGATGATAAATCTTACATTTTTAGGCATTTAAAACAACATGTTTGGCCGCATACACAATTCCGGAAAATCCTTGTTAAAAACACAATTATACTTAAACATGAAAACAATAAACAAAAACTAAAAATTCTTGAAGCTATATACATAAAACAGTCGAAACCTAACCTGAACAAAATAAACTATGAAATCTCCACAAATATTCTTAAATGCCTATAATTGGTAACAGAAGCCATTGGTTTATACCAATGGCTTCCCATATTTAATACTTCTCGTTTTCACTCTCGCATGGTCATGTGTGGCGTCATGAGCTGCGGTGCGATTTTCGCTTCCAGCGTCTTATATGCACGAGTTTGTCGTTGCTTGGAAATCTTCCATGTAAACAGAAACAGACTATCATCATTATTTTGTCCGAGTTTTGCTTAATATATTGTAATGTAATTGTCGTCTTTGATAAAGGCTTATGTAAGCCGAAAGCTTAGATAGGATTAAAAATATGTATCAATAATGTGGTTTTCTTTCTTCGTTTAATCATAATGTTATTAAGCTTATCAGACAATATGAAAAGAATTTACATAAAATAAATAGACAACACTTGTCTATATTATTTAATGAAACATACATCAATATATATATATAGAATGTGTTGAAACAAAATGGCTATTTTGTAGTGATCTTATAACATACTTATGTTATAATTTTTATAAAAATAATTATATTATATATATATATATTTATAAAAAAATATATATATATATATATATATATATATATATATATATATATATATATATAAGAGAGAGATAGAGATAGTCACTAAATGAAATAAAATGAATCGAATCTGATCATGAGCAGTGTGACGCGTATCTCTCATGTCAGCCAGGAAATAAATCATTAAAACATTAATTTTCTGGTTAGGTATCTATTAATCACTTTTTAAAAGAAATTCTGCTAAATTTAAAATACATTAAATTTTCGTTGTTTTTACGGATTTTGATAGGTGTTATTTGTTCCCATTATATATATATATATATATATATATATATATATGAGAAAAAACATACATACACACATGAAAGATTTTACGTACGTATAAATATATTTCCTACACAGTGCTCAATGTTATGAGACAGAGCTATATGTATATATTAGTGAATATGCATAATACCCAACGTCGATAGCACGACTCGGAATTTCATGTAGTTTCTGGAATCATCAGGCACAAGTATTTGCGCCTAAAGATTGCAGAAACTGCATGAAACTTCGAGTCGCGCTACTGACGTTGAGTGTTATGTATATTCACTAATATATATATATATATATATATATATATATATATATATATATATATATATAGTGAATATACATAATAAATATAATATATATAAAGTAGAGCGCCACAAAATAAAATAAAGTTCAGTGCAGATGTTAAAAGTGAGGATTGGGGACAAATCAAATATTATGCTTTAAAGATTCTGCCTTTCCTTTTTTTAAAATCTTATAAAATGAAATATATATATATATATATATATATAATATTATATGCTTTAAATATATATATATATTATATATTTTTTTAATATATATATATATATTATATATATATAAATATATATATATATATATATATATATATATATATATATATATATATATATAATATCCCGTGACCCGTAGTATTGTAGGGTCACAATGTGTACTGCAACCACAGTAGAAGTGGTGTTTCTTGGGCAAGATATTCTGACGGAGCCCAAATCTGTCTGGGCCAGTTTTGAATTCAGAGGTTTTCTTTCTCCTAGACCAGTTGCCACCCAAGATTATAAAATCCAATCTGTTCTGCTATTTACCAATAGCCGAGGGAGAAGAAGACGATTCGTATCTTTCTCATGGGTATTAGCACTTAAGTGATTGTAATGGATCCGACTGGAATTTGAACTCGTGTCTCCGCTATCTATTACTCCACCGTGCCTCGTTTTTTTAGATATATTACCCTGCTGTAAACATTCTCTTCATATTAAATGCACATTTTTTAATCTTTTTTATTTTTGCGTATAATCATTTGTTTACTGACCTACGCACTTAAAAAACTTAATAAAGAAAATGTGCCCTTCTGGAGGATTCGAATCCGTGTCCTTTGCAGGAGAAGTCAATGTCAGATTCGGCGTGCTTTGACCGCACGACTACAGAGAGCTTCACTGTTAAGCAAGGTTCTAAATTGATACCATTGGAATCATTTGTATATTTAAATTTTTGTGAATTCAAAGAATTGAAATAGTTTATAATCACTGGATAGGAAATGTTGGATTTTCTTTCCGGGGTTGAAAGTTGATTTAAAAAGCAGAGATTTGAATTACAGCTCCCAATTCCTCAAACAACAGCTTGGCTAGCAACGACTAACCTAGCCTAGCAACGGCTAACCTCGTCTACCATACCGAAGATTAACCTATCATTTATCATCTAATTTTAATTTAACTTATTATTTATCATCTAATTTATTATTTAACTTATTATTTATCATCTAATTTTAATTTTTTTAAAGCATTTACATTTCATCCATTATTGAAACTAATTTTATCGAATTTTATAAATTTTATAATTTTATATTTATCGTCGATGTAGAACGCTCATACTGTCTCGCTTTTGCATTACTCGTACGTCTTCCTCATGTTTTTTTTTTAAATTCCCGCTTTACCCCAAGCGAAATCATACGTTTACACCTTTCATCACTACTCTTTACACTTACTTTCTTTGAACCCATGGTGTAACTAAAGGAATTTTGCAAAATAACCACAAAAGGGACAACACAACAGAGATCCTTCAAGAGCGAGGTAAACACGTGTACTGCAAGTGGAAATACTTTTGAAGCTTGGCGCTCGCTGCACCAACTAGACAATATTTAACTGAAACTCGTTCGTATCTCAAAATTCAGCTCGTATCTAAAAAAAAACAACTCGTATGTCAGTACGCTCGTATCTCAAGGCATTACTGCAATCAGTTATTTTTTGTTTTAAGGAAGTGTCTATAAACCCCGAAAACTTCTTGTTCTTTCTTCTTCGTTAGAAAGAACTTTCAAGAAGAAATCTGGACAGATGTTGGTTAATTTTTGCCGCCTGTTGTGCTGTTATATCGGAATCAAAATCAAGCAATTATAAAGCAATTACACCAGCCTATTTTATTGTGATAAAGCAATTAACTCGGTTTTATCTTTGGCATTATTGAATACGAAATAGATAAGATAAAAGATCTGACGAAAGTTGAATGCCTGCTTTATTATTTTCTTTGATTTTTAATCTTTCTCTTTCTCTGTCTGTCTGTCTGTCTCTCTCTCTCTCTCTATATATATATATATATATATATATATATATATATATATCATACTTATTATAAAACCAAGGTTGTGTGTGTCTGTACGTTTATATATTGGATCGGATTTCCTACATTTTTCAACCGATTTCAACAAAACTTAACAGGACTACGTAAAATTACCTTGCGGTGGTTCTGACAGCGCCAAAAATTGGGAAAACACAATTGTTTTTGCACGAAGTCAATTTGAAAACACGATTAAGAGGCATCGCGAGAATGAAAGGGGGACAACTCATATCGAGTTACACTTATTATAAACCCCAGGTTGTGTGTGTGTGTGTGTGTGTGTGTGTGTGTGTGTGTGTGTGTGTGTGTGTGTGTGTTCGTTTATATATGGGATCGGATTTTACATTTTTTTCAACCGAAATTCGACAAATTGACATTTCTTTAAGTTTTCTCGAGCGCGCTGGTCGATAGACGTAATTAACACTGTTTAAAAAATGGGGCCGTTTATTTCAGACAAGGGTATCCACTAAAAATATCGTTTAAAGCAATAAAAATTTAGATTAAAAAAATCACACACATTCATATATATATATATATATATATATATATATATATATATATATATATATATATATATATTAAGTAATTGAATGACAAAGTGGATAAAATTTATTTAACGCGTTTCGTCCTTTAAAAGGACTTCATCAGACTAAAAATAATATTTTTATTGAAGAAATTATGTCTATATAGTGCAGGGGGAGATATAAATGTAAAAGTTGATTAATTATTTTTCGTTATGTCATTCGATTATCTAACATTGTTTTGATATACAAATTTCTCTTCTCTACACATGTGCGGGTGTGTGAGTGTGGGCGAGCGCGTGTGTGTGCTTATATGGAAAGCGTTTTAACACATGCCAACGCACATACAGCACAAGCTTGAAGGAAATCTTTACCCAGCATTCCTCGTGTGTCTTATCTTCCATTTGTTGGATACTATTTTGGGGACGCATTTTCTCACTCTCCAAGTGTCACGTCCGGTCTTTTTCATCCAAAGGGGCGTATTCTCTCGACTTGTGCTCTGTCATATTTCAATGAGGCAAAAACCAGGTGTAACATGTCTGGGGGTAGATGGGCAGAACGCAACAGACATTCGATGAAGACCAAGATAGCAATATTGAGTCTTTTGCTCTATCAGCATAGTTTATGAGCAATACTGCTTAGAAATAAAAGCACAGTAACAAATTAAATTAAATTATCATCTGTTCAGAGTATTATAGGAATAAAAACTATACGCCATTTAAAACTTATTTAAAACTGGTTTTATGGAAAATATCAACTTCGTAAATAACGTAAATATAGCAGAAATAATAAATTCTAAAAGAAACAGTATTTCAATAAGACTGACAAAAAGTGAATTAAATAAAAAAATAATGATTTGCAGTGGTTCGAGGGATAGCCTCTCTGTCCTGTGTGGAGATAAAACTGCAAAGTTACATAGCGAACACATATCTTGGATACTATACAAGTGTGTAAAACTGATTTAACATTTGCTTTAGTGCAATATTTATGAATAAATTTACTGTGAACTTTCAAAGATATTTTGTTGCAGAATAAATATTACTTTAGGTTTTGAAGTTTGTCTTATCAAACGGCTGCTACTACAACTCTGGAGAACCAAAACACGTAAACTGCAGAAAACGCAGCTGGAAAAATGTTGTGAAAAGAAAAAGAAAATTACTCAGAAGAAAACTTCGTACAAATGATTATATTATCCAGTTTTATAAAATTCAGACAATAATATTTACTAGAAATGAACTTGAATTTTCTCTTAAGATTCACCAGAAAATTCAGTTATGGATTGAATAAATTTATAGCGAGGTTTATGCCAAAATATCCGTAGAAATTCCCCTATCGCATCATTAAATATTTGAGCTTAACAGCTTTAAAAAAAATATTGCAATAACAATCAGAAATATGAATGCTGGTCTTTATTTTAAGAAATGGGTACAAATGAAAAGTTTGAAATTGACAACTTTTTTCCATTTTACTGAAATAACCATTAAATGCTTCTTTCTTTCTTTCTTTTTTCTGTCTTTCTTTCTTTCTTTCTTTCTTTCTTTCTTTCACTGAACCCAAATAGTGTCTTTTTCCATCTTCCCATTATTGTGGGACAAGTGTAAATGTTTTTATATAATTTTGTATATAACTTAGTAGTATAAAACTCTCTCCGAGAATAAAGCCGGTTTATCATTTCTTTCAGCTATTCCGTTCCGCGTATTAAGGTATTTTTATATCATGGATATAATAATAGCCATCATGGGGGAAATGAAAACTAGCAATATGCCTTTCTCGCATAGCACTCCCATACAATTTTTAAATCAGTCAAAATAGGTACCCTGAAAATCTACACATTTATAGGTTATTTATGTCTTTACAGTAAGACTCTAAAGATTTGGAAGCCAAAGAATCTTTGAATGCAGTTTCTTCATCTTTTTTGCAACAGAATGTCTTTTGGTTTAAAAAATTGTCAAGATTCTTGAAAAAGTGGTTATCAGTGGGCGAGAGATCAGGGGAATATGGTGGGTGTGGCAAAGTCCCTTATCCCAAGTCAGCGAGCTTCTGCAGTATCATCATGGCAACATGTAGCCGATCATTGTCATGTAGCAGAATTGGGCTTTGTTGATTAATCAGTGCCTGTTGTATTTTTCTTAACTGAATGTGCTAGTAGTAAACTTCAACAGAGATTAGATTCCAGAAAATTCTAATAGATAACAGTAACACTAATGGCAGACCACCGAGACAGTCACCATAATATTCTGTTGATGCAATTTCGGTTTTGGAAAGTGATTTGTTGCTTCGTCATGTTCAAGCATTGCGCCGGTTGTTTATGATTGTCGTAAAGGATCTAATTTCTTAAAACAAATCACTATTCGATCTAGAAAAAGATCAATCAAATTTCACAGAGGCAGTATCGAACACACTTCAAAACGTCGAACTTCACTGAGTTCATATGGAAACTATTTATTGATTTTTTTCACCTTATCAAGTTTCCCCTTTTTAGAGAGTTTTCTTTGCATTTTGGGATATCCTTGGAGGCGGTCAAAAGGTAGGAATCCCTTTTTTTCATTTTAAGAAACTTACGTTTGTCTTTTAACGGAATGTGTTTAGATGCTGATTCAGTAACTGTTTATTGCTTTTATTCTGCACAGATTGTAATTTCGCATGAGAAATCTACTTCCGGCTGCAACATCCGTGATTTGACATGACCCCGTTGGTGGATGAGCTCATATCTGGTGTACTTGTTAGAAATAAAATTTGTTTATTGTTAAATCTATTCTAAATTCAGCTTCTTGTCGTGAGTGTGCAATTGAATTTTACATATAAAATATTTAAAAAACATTATTTCACTTTTTTATATCACTAGTTTATATCCCATACTTCTTGAATATCAAACTGAATAAATAACATTCTATTTATCTGAGAAAATTTACCATAGAATATTTATGATTTCAAATTCATCTGAAGAATAATAATGAGAACCTGTGACGTAAAAAGTCTTACACATACACACAATATATATGTGTATATATATATATATATATATATATATATATATATATATATATATATATATATATATATATATATATACACAGTAGCGTAGTTAGAGGGGCGCCCTGCCCGTGTAGCACTTTTTTATTTGGCGAAACATTTATGGGGGCGACATTTTTTTATGTGGGCGACTCTTTGGGATCAGTTATATAGGCTGTATTAAAATAAAAGTGTTTTCAATCTCGGATATGTACTTAAGCAATTGTTTTCATTTTCATTCCAACTTTTGGAAGTAAAGTCTGATGATTCAGAGCCTTTAAAAGGGTTGTGGTGAAATAACTTATTACATGGAACCTTAAAGTGATCTGTTTTTTATTCAAATATATATATATATATATATATATATATATATATATATATATATATATATATATATATATATATATATTCATTTAAACATTAAACATGCTTGATTAAACAAATTTAAACGTGTTTATTTATTTTCAATACAATCCTTTCGTAATCACGTATAAGTTTTCTTGTTTCATGATTAAAGACAGCAAAAAAGATGCTATAGTTATATTTATTCATTTTTCTCGGTTGCTTTCGATATTTTCCAATATCATCATCAGGGTTATGATGGCTAAGACAAATCATTTTGTTTGTCCGAAATCAATTTTTGCTTTTGTGGTTAAACCATTAACAATTCAGGTCATACACAAAGTCACAAACGCTCATTTTTTAAAAATTATGTTGTAAGAGAAATTCTTTGTGCTTGAATTATTACAATTGTGAATATGTTCGTGAACATAATATCAATTTCATTAGTTTAAAAAGATTTAGTATAAGGGAGGTAACTTAGTTAATTGAAATATTAATAGAAGGTTATAATTTACTTGTCTTTAAACTGTTTAGTTGTAACTTAGATATTTCTTTACAAATTATATACTATAAGCATTTCGAAACATTTGTACTATATTCATAATTAAGTTTGTTCAGTGTTGGTTTTAATTTTTTAATAAAGATAGCTTCAAGAATTTGTAGTTTCTGCTTATTACTTTCTTAGTGAAGTATACAGGTATTGTTCTTCTCAATTGTGAATGTGGGCTGGAATGTTTTTATAGATGTTGAGCAATGGAGGATGAATCATTTACATTTACATTTAGAGTAAGCCTTCTTGATAACATGATTGTGGTATAACCAACATATATATTAGCTTTTTGTCAGAGATACAATCTACTAAGGGAGATTTAAGTTGATATATAATGTTTGCTTTCTGCAACACGTTAATTGGTGGGGAAGAGTTATTGCGGACGATTAAGTTAGTAGTATTACATTTAGTATAGTACATCATTAATTTTATTTTTTACTGGGATCTGTGAAGGATATATTAGTATTTATGAGGTTTTAGGATGTTTTTGCCTTGTTTATATTTAGAATGTATCTAATTACGATTTAAAAGATTGTTATGTTTCGGGTTATTTAATGAGGTATTATGTTTTATTTGATTTATATTAAAATTACTAACAGATCGCCTTATTTGTTCACCAATGTCGTTAGGAAAGTCATTATTAATGAGAGTTTGTTTAATGTTTTTTTAGTTCAGTGTGAAAATCTTTTTTGTGGGTGAGTTAACTTGCATGGTTTATTAAGTTTTGTATAATTGCTATTTTGTAGTAGTTAGGATATTCACTCTTATAATAAAGAGTTTATACTTAGTAGGTTTTTATATAGGGAAGTAGTAAATGCATTATTATTATTGATGCCAGTCAATATATCAAGGAAAGGAATTTTATTATTATTGTTAAGTTCATATGCGAATTTAATGACAGAGTTTTTTTTAAAATTCTTTTGTAGCTCGTGTATTTCATATTTTTTTTTTTTACTAAGTTAAGGATGCCATCAACATATCTTAGGTAGATGGAGGGTTTTTTAAAAATATTAAATATATTATTTTCGGGGTTAGCCATATAAAAGTTACTGAAACTTGCACCCAGAACTGAACCCATGGACACGCCGTCACGTTGTACATATATATTGTTTGTGTGGTCAAAGAATGGAACTTCAGTAGTACAAGTTAAAAGTAGTTTCCGTAGTATTTTGGATCTAATTTTTAATGGAAGGGATTAATTGTTTCTCTAACTGGGACATTGGTGAATAAATTTTCTACATCAAGTGAGGCTATGGTTTTATGATCGGGTTTTTGTGTTTTTAGATTTGGAATAATTCTAGAGTTGATTTGATGCTGTATTTACTAGGAATGTATGGTGTAATAAGTTGGTTAATGATTTTGATTAGTTGATAAACTGGAGTGAAGATTTGAGATATAATAGGACCGAGAAGAAAGTTTGGCTTGTGCGTTTTCATGGTTCCATAAAAATGTAACCTGGTTTATAATCATCAATTATTTGGGGAAGTTTTAAATTGTCTTGTTCTGCATTATTGGCTATGATTAGTTTGTTGAGGATGTTGGCTTTTTTCAGGAGCAGTTTATGGAACTAGTTGACTTATGGGGCGCAGAAAGTGTTTGATT